AAAATATATGGAGATATAAGTCTTCACTTACATAGGCATAAGGTGAGTGATACTCAATATGAAATTAATAATGTGTTAGTTTATACTGTGTGTGTTTTATAACTTTGCTTTTAAAGAACTGCATTACCATACAGTGTGTACCTCTCTCTCTCTGGTAATTGGAGAAACTGTGTATCAGCCTATCGTGGCATATAAGTGGTTTTTAAAAACTGTAACTGTTTCCAATATGGCATTGTAAATATGACTGTAATACTGTATGCCATAAAGCTGTTACGATGATTCATTCATTAGTGTGTAGGCTAGGCTACTGTGAAGTGGTCGTACTGATGATTAAACTAGGCTACCGTAAAACCGTAATACTGCTGCTTCTTTGTTATCGATGTGTCAATCATTGTACCTTTATTCATATAAACTCAAAAATTTGAGGAGAGTCAAAAGTTATACATGGATTTTTGACTGTGCAGGGGTTTGGTGTCCCTAACTCCCGTACTATTCAAGGGTCAACTGTGTATTACTATATGTTAGTTAGAAACTCCTAGGTCTAAGTCACACTTCCCTGGGTGACAGATTCTTACTTCTCTGACTCCTTTGGGCACACAACAAAATATTAATATAATTTTTTAAAAGTAGATAAATGAAAAAAGCTCCTAAAACTGCCACTGAAAAAACTGTTCTTGGAAAGAATTAAGAAAATAAATTAATTCACTCTTTTAACTAGTGTTATGGTACACTAATCTCTGACCTATGAGGAAGAAATTTAAAATTCTGAATTCTGGATTCGTTTCTTTGAAATGAAAATAAAATTAATTTCTACCCCATGAAGTTTTCCCAAGAGTGATAAAAGAATGCTTCAGCTAAAATAAGTAACAGTATTCTATAAAAAATGTTACCAATAGCTTGAATAGGTTCAAACTTGGTGTAAAGTTGTGAAATTTTGATACAGAAGGAGGCTAAGATCTGATGTATACTGATAGTATTATGCTTGTTCAGTAACACCCATTTCAATGTTTTTTTCTAAATGGTTCTCTACTGTTTCCATATTCTGTAAAGAAATATGATAGTATATACAAAATTGTCAATGGCACTCTTTAAAAGACTGACAGAAATATATTTTATGCAGTTTATTTTATTTACTATTTCAGTCAACTGGGTTTTATTTATCTTACACAGTTATCTTCTATAATAATTGCTACAATTTTTCATATTTCCTCAATATAACAAAAGGGTAATATTTATCTTTTTTATAATAATTACTGTAATGTATTTCTACACAATGTATTTTCTCCAGTGTACCAAAAGCATATGTGATAGCACCTGTTAAAATACGATCTGTTGTTACATCAATTTGGACATGTCATAGATAATATGTCCTCAAGAGCCTAACAATCATGTTATATTAAGCCTTTAATGTATATAATAGAAGCCAGCATAATGTAGTTTGTTTGCATAAGATGAAGGCAAAAAACTCAGCCTCTAGCTTCCTGCACTGCTTATTTACCTGTGGTCCTAAGGGCACCATTCCTCTTGGAGGAGTCATTCTCTGCATTGGCCCACCCATATTTGGATGCCCTAAGGACAGAAAAAAAGTGTGATGTTATTAGCAATGCAATGAGCACGAGTGCTAAACCAGAGGCTACAGCCTCCTCTCTGCTTGGTGTTACATGTCATTTACTAAGGGACTGGACCACTGATGTCACCTCATGTTGGCTCCCACGGCCAGTTTTCTACCTCTTAGCACTATCTACTCACACTCTCCACTAATGTCTTGAAATATTCTTCCCATTCTGTGTTGAATTATATTTCTCACATCATTCACTCCTCTTTCCTTGGAACAGTGTAACAGAGTCACATATATTTGTGGTACCTAAATAGCTCTATGGAAGGACCTGATTATTGGGTTTGTTAAACTATCAAGTAAGTCACTTGTTGCTTAGCATCCTGTCTCCTCCTACTTATCTTTCAGGTGGATTAAACCTCTATCTGAAACAGGCAGAGAAAAATCACAAGTCATATAATCACTTTGGGTCTCACTTGTTAGAAGCTATAGAAAAGGTTTTAGAACTTACTAGTTAAAATACAGATTTTGGATATTTAATTACTCTGTTTATGTTATCACTGCCCTTAGTATCATGCATAATTAAGAATTAGCTGAAAGTATAACCATTTAGCCATGTTACCTTAAAAAATGCAACTGGTATAATTATGGAAGATCTATACAAGTGAAATTTTCCTTAAAAAAAAAACAGGATTTCCTTTGAGATTCTGCACATCAATTTCACTTTTACTTTATTCACCTTGTTGTCGAGTTGGGTCCATTCCACTGGGTAGTAATGGCTGACTTCCTGGGACACCTCCAAGTGCCTAGCATATTAAGTAAAACAAAATAAAAAGCAATACTGTAACTATTTATAAAATAAGAACTTTAACAATTCTCCAAAAATTTCTATAATTACAGAATGCATTGGAGTATTTCACAAGATTTCTTATATTTCATACTCATTTATGAATTTAATAGGTCTATACATCCAGTATAATTTCTTAGTTCTAAAAAGATTCTATTTAGTCTAATTTTGTGGCCAACAAAATTGGCATTTTGGGGGAACAAAAATCTAGGCCAAAACTGTCCTATTTCTTCCTGAGAAGTATAATGCCTTTCACCAAAATTAATTTACCAAGGGTACTAAAATAACTAATTTTGCTTTTTAAATGTAAGTTATTTCTACAGATTATTTTACTCACTGGGGAGTATGGTAGCAGCAGGACTAAAATGCCAGCCGGCCAATGAATATTATTTTTGGTAGTCATATTTTCCCTAGGAAACTATTAAGAAAAATAATACTCCAATTAAGTTCAAACAATTTGGCTGACTGGAAAAAAGAACTAGAACTGAAAAAAGGTAGAGATTGACAGACAGGGTTTATTTTATGCAGGGGTGCGATTCTGGACACATAATGAATTTTAAGTTTCTAATAATTACATGGGCAGCCCTTAGAGCTGGACCAAGCCATAAATGATTTCAACATACTGAGCCTATGAAGCACACATGAATACACATAGACATATAATTCTGACAAATTGGCGAGAATTTCTATAAAGGTTCACCAATTTAACTTCAAAGCAGGAAAACCTTACCTAATTAGTTAAAAATATCAAATATTTTGAAAGAAAATTTGGTATGAAAGAATTTATATATCCAGATCAGAATGTTTCCTTAATTGTTATCATTGGGATGCAGCAGAGAACTGTCATTTTTCAACCTATTTTGTAATCCTTTTTTTAAAATTGAAGTATAGTCAGTTTACAGTGTTAGTGTCAATGCCTGGTGTACAACATAATAGTTCAGTTATAATATATACATACATATATTCATTTTCATATTTTTCTATTATTAGTTACTACAAGATATTGAACATAGTTCCCTGTGCTATACAGTATGAACTTGTTGTTTATCTATTTTATATATGTTAGTTAGTACCCGCAAATCTCGAATTCGCAATTTATCCCTTCCCAACCCCTTCCTCCCCTGGTAACCATAAGTTTGTTTTCTAAGTCTGTGAGTCTATTTCTATTTTGTAAATAAGTTTGTTTGTCTTTTTTTTTTTTTAGATTGCACATATAAGTGACATCATATGGTATTTTTCTTTCTCTTTCTGGCTTCACTTAGAATGACGATCTCTAGGTCCATCCATGTTGCTGCAAATGGCATTATTTTAGTCTTTTTTATGGCTGAGTAGTATTCCATTGTCTAAATATACCACAGCTTTATCCAGTCATCTGTTGATGGACATTTAGGTTGTTTCCATGTCTTGGCTATTGTAAATAGTGCTGCTATGAACATTGGGGTGCATATATCTTTTCAAATTAGAGTTCCCTCTGGATATATGCCCAGGAGTAGGATTGTTGGATCATATGGTAAGTCTATTTTTAGTTTTTTGAGGAATCTCCATACTGTTTTCCATAATGGCTGCACCAAACTACATTCCCCCCAACAGTGGAAGAGGGTTCCCTTTTCTTCACACCTTTTACAGCATTTATCATTTGTGTACCTTTGAATGATGGCCATTCTGACTGGTGTGAGGTGATACCTTATTGTGGTTTTGATTTGCATTTCTCTGATAATTAGAGATACTGAGCATTTTTTCATGTGCCTATTGGCCATCTGTATGTCTTCATTGGAGAATTGCTTGTTTAGGTCTTCGGCCCATTTTTGGATTGGGTTTTTTTTTTTTCTCTTATTAAGTTGTATGAGCTGTTTATATATTCTGGAGATTAAGCCCTTGTCAGTTTCATCTTTTGCAAATATTTTCTCCCATTCTGCAGGTGATCGTTTTGTTTTGCTTACAGCTTCCTTTGCTGTACAAAAGCTTGCAAGTTTGATTAGGCCCATTTATTTATTTTTGCTTTTATTTCTATTGCCTGGGTAGACTGCCCTAGGAGAACATTGCTAAAATTTATGTCAGATAATGTTTTGCCTATGTTTTCTTCTAAGAGGCTTATATTGCCTTGTCTTATGTTTGAGTCTTTAAGCCATTTTGAGTTTGTTTTTGTGTATGGTGTGAGGGAATATTCTAACTTCATTGATTTACATGCTGCTGCCCAGTTTTCTCAGCACCATTTGCTGAAGAGACTGTCTTTATTCCATTGAATGTTCTTGCCTCCTTTGTCAAAGATTAATTGACCAAAAGTCTGTGGATATATTTCTGGGTTCTCTATTCTGTTCCACTGATCTGTATGTCTGTTTTTGAACCAATACCATGCTGTTTTGATTACCGTAGCTCTGTAGTATTGTCTGAAGTCTAGGAGGATTATTCCTCCAGCTTCATTGTTTTTCTTCAGTATTGTTTTGGCAATTCTGGGTCTTCTGTGATTCCATATAAATTTTAGGATTATTTTTCTAGTTCTGTGAAAAATGTTCAGGGTAATTTGATAGGGATCACATTAAATCTGCAGATTGCTTTGGACAGTTTGGCCATTTTAGCAATATTAACTCTTCCAATCTGAGAACATGGAATATCTTTCCATTTGTTTAAGTCATCTTTAACTTCCATAGTCAATGTTTTGTAGTTCTCTGTGTATAATAAGTCTTTTCACTTCCTTG